ATGAATTGTAACTTTGGAAAAAACCAAAATGCTGTGGTGCCACAGATACCCCTGTGGACAGTACAAACTGACCCATTGTTGATGGACATTGGAGACATCATGCTTTAGGTAGGAAACTCAATTGGGGCTAAGTAAAGTCCTAAGAAATGGAGTCATGTTTTGCCCATGAGACCTTGCAGGTTCCATATTCCTTCATAAACACATATGTCCTGGAATCACACCTGTGCATCAGGAGTGCTTCTTACTTCAGTGAATTGTGTCGTGTTTGAAAAGGGCCAGCTGGTTCTTTAGACGGAAAACATCAGGAAGTACTCTTTCTCACAGCTCTTTTCTCCTGAGGCACCCTGGGGCCTGAGGTCAGTGGTCAGGTCACAGTGGACCCAGGAGAGCCACAGGCAAGTGGTGACACAGGAGGTGGCAGCACACAGATGTGAGGGCTTTGTTCGGGAATGTCCGAATGCCCTTCATAGGAACCCCGTGAGGAAGGGGCGCCTTGAGAGAGCTGCCCTCCACCTCGCCTCACCCAGGTCTCCTCAGACCTGTGTTCAGTAGGAACAGATTGTTCTCTGACTTTGAAAAGGTCAGAGGTGGGCTGGCAAGTGTGCACTCAGCGGGTCCTCCCTTTGGACCAGCATAGGCCTTACCGGTGAGCGCCTGGGGTGGGTGTTACAGATGAATGCCGTGTTGTGTGTGTCAAGGGCATTGCACGTGGATCCTGGGGGGTGGGTATCACAGGCAAATGCTGTGGGAAGCTTGTTGTCTTGGGTACCTGAGGAGGGATTACGACAGTGGTAGGTTTTTTCTCACCTTGCGTTTCGAGAGCAGTGGGCCGCCCATTGAAGGGTTATGAAATAACTTACTGTATTACAACCAGTGTTTTTTAAAAAAAGTGAAGTAGAATAAAATAGAGACTATCAGGGTACATGGGTGGTGATTAGGGCAGGGTTGCCCATCATTTGTCTATTGCTGGGAACGACGAATTAAAGAGGAATGGCATCACATTCATCATCAGAAAGATCATTTCAGGATCTATGTCAAAGAACAATGCTGTCTTTGATAGGATAACATCCAAGGAAGACAAGTTAGTACCACTGTTACTCAAGTGTATGCACCAACCACTAAAGCCAGTGATAATGAAATTGAAGAATTCTACCAAAGTCTTCAGTCTGAAATTACTCAAACACGCCATCAAAATGCAGTGATAATTACTGGTGACTGGGATGAGAAGTTGGAAACAAAGAGGGAAGAATATTAGGAAATGATGGACTCGGGGGTGGCAGCGGTGGTGAGGTTGGCCCAGGATCGAACATTGTTTCATTCTGCTGTGCATGGAGTCGCTATGAGTCGGTTCCGACTCGATGGCACCTGACAACAACAACAACAACAACAATGGCCTTGGTGATAAACAATACTAGAAAATGCATGATAGAATTGTACAAGATCAGTGGCTTATTCATTGCAAATACCTTTTTTTCAACAACAGAAAATGTGAATATACGTGCGAACCTCACAAAATACCTGTGGGAAGAGACAACAAAGATGCTCAATATCTTCCACCAAAACAAGACTAGGGGCCAACTGTGGACCAGACCATCGATTGTTCCTATGCAAGTTTAGGCTGAAGCTGCAGAAAATTTACAAGAGTCAAAATATGACATTCAGTATATCCCACCTGAATTTAGAGACCATCTCAAGAATACACTTCATGCATTAGACACTAATGGCTAAAGACCAGAAAAGGTGTGAAATGATAATAAGAACACTGTACAAAAAGAAAGTAAAAGGTCACTCAAAAAAAAAAAAGATCATTCAAAAGAAAGAAAAGACCAAAATATATGTCAGAAGAGACCCTGAAACAGCATAGGGAAGCTAAAGCAACTAGAAGAAATGAGGAAATCAAAGAGCCGAACAGAAAATTTCTAAGGCCTATCAAAAGGAGTCAAGTATTGTAATGAACTGTGCACAGACCTGGAGTTAGAAAACCAGATGGTTTTCTGTGCTCAGCATTTCTCAAGCTGGAAGAACTGAAGAAAAAATTCAAGTCTTGGATTGCAGTATTGAAAGAGTCTATGGGTAAAATATTTAATGCAACAGGAAACATCACAAGAAGATGGAAGGAATACACAGAGTCACTCTACCAAAAAGAATTGGTCGATGCTCAGTCACTTCGAGAGATAACATGTGATCAAGAGCCGGTGGTATTGAAGAAGTCCCAGCTGCACTGAAGACATTGGCTAAAAATAAGCCTCCACGAATTGGCACTGTGGGAAAAGGCACTGGACCACAAGGTTGGTTTTAACCACAGGGTCGGAGGTTCAGACTCACCAATCACTCCTTGGAAACTCTACACAGGGTTGCTATGAGTCAGAAGCGACTCGACGGCACTTAACACCACCAACAGTAATTGATAGAATACATATTGAAATCTTCCAACAAACTGATAAAGTACTGGAGGTGCTCACTCATCTGTGCCCCAAAACTTGAAAGACAGCTACCTGACTTAATCATTAAACAATATTATTAGTATTGTTTTCAAGTAAAATTGTACTGAAGATAGTTTAAAAATTGTTGCAACAGTTCATCAACAAGGAATTGCTAGACATTCAAACCAGATTCGTAAGACATGGAACAAAGGATATCATTGCTAACATCAAATAGATCTTGGCTGAAAGCAGAGAATACTAGAAAGATGTTTACTTGTGCTTTATTGACTCTGTGGATCCTAGTAACCTATAGATAACATTGTGAATAATGGGAATTCCAGAACACTGAATTGTGCTCATGTGGAACCAGTACATAAACCAAAAGGCAATCATTTGAACAGAAAAAGAAAAATACTGAATGGTTGAAAATCAGGAAAGGAGTACAACAGGGTTGTATCTTTTCACCATACTTACTCAATCTGTATGCTGAACATATAACCCAAGAAGCTGGATTATATGAAGAACATGGCATCGGGATTGGAGGAAGGCGCTCATTAATTGCCTGCAATATGGAGATGACACACCCTTACTTGCTGGAAGCAGAGAGGACTTGAAATACTGATGAAGATCAAAGACTACAGCTTCCAGCATGAAATATACCTCAATGTAAAGAAAACAAAAATCCTCATAATTGGACCAACTAAATCACATCATGATAAATGGAGAAAAGATGGAAGTTTTCAAAGTTTCCTTGGATCCCAAATCGACACTTATGAGAAACCGAAGTCAAGAAATCAAATGACGCACTGCATTGGGCAAATCTACTGCAAAAGAACTCTTTGAAGTGTTAAAAAAGCAAAGATGTTAGTTGGAAGGACTAAGGTGTACCTGACCCAAGCCATGGTATTTTTAATCACCTTATATGCTTGTGAAAGTTGGCCTGTGAATAAAGAAGACGGTACAGAAATCTATGCGTTTGAATCACAGTGTTGGCAGAGAATACTGAAAGTACCATAGACAGCCAGAAGAAGAAACATCTTGGAAGAAGGACCACCAGACTACTCATCTGAAGTGAGGACGATGAGACTTCATCTCCTGTACTTTAGATTTGTTACCTGGGGTGATCATGCCCTGGGGAAGGATGTCATGCTTGGTAGAGGGTCGGAAAAAAAGAAGAAAACCCCCAACGAGATGATTGACAGCATGGCTGCAACACTGGGCTCAGATATAACAACTGTGAGAGTGGCGCAGGACCAGCCATGGTGTGTTCTGGTGGGCATAGGGCTTGCCATGCGTCGTAACCAATTTGACAGTACCTAACAAGAACAGGGCAGGTGTGGGGGGTTTTGTTTGTTTGTTTTGTTTTTTTAAGGTTTTTATTATGGATTTAATGAAAGTTTACAGGGCAAATCATCAGTTTTACATTCAACAAATCATATACCTAGTCTCATTACATTGATTATAATCCCCTCCATGTACCATCAGTTAACAGTATTTCTCTCTATCCACTTTAGCTTTTTAATAAACACACAAACAAAAAAACCCACTAAGGTATATATAATAATTTACATCTCCAAAGGGCACATTCTGCAAGTCTGCTCCTGGCCACCAGCTCTTAGTCCTTCTTTTCTTAGTCCATGAATCTAGAATCCTCAGCCGCTCCCCGTCCATGCCCCTATCTCTGGCGCTGCTGCTTCTCTGGTTAAGGTCCCACGTTCTGCTTGTGCCTTCCTCTCTTGATGGTCCTAGGGTCCTCTGTTTCTGGACTGTAAGATTAACTACTCCCCTTTTTTCACAAAACTTCTACCTTTACAATTGTGACAGTCACAATTAGTCATGATAACAGTTATTCACTATTGAATCTTAAGAATCTTATCCCCATCTCCTTTCACCAGACTCATCTAGACAAGATGATAACTATTCAGTGGGGACTCTTTCTTTCTCCCCACCCTTTTAAACTAAGCTCCCTCTTGAAACCTTGTAAGCCAGTCACTTCGTGCCTTTATTGCCCCCTCATTTTAGATAGCCAATGTCTAAGTTGCCCGTCCCTATCTACCCTGTGCACAGAGCAGATAGCATTGAAACTTGATTTGAAGACTCTTTCCCTCTCTGTTGGTATTTAGAGTAACTACCGCTCTGAGTATAGGTCAGGTTCATCATGAAGATGTATCTTCTGTCACTGTAGCTGTTCCAGTGTGCTTGTCCTTTCTAGTGGGAATGTCTCACCTCATAAGGTTGTGGGTGGGCAGGTGTGGTTTTTGAAATTTATTTTTCAGGTGTACACACACACACATATACTATGGCTTGAGATGTAGGAATGCTTCTTAATCCACTTAACTGAAAGCGGCTTTGGTGAAAGATGTGTTTGTTTTCAACAGAAGCTGGAAGAAACATCCTGTTCATCCTCCCCTTGACTGCGGGGAGAGCCTCTGAGGAGTGGGGGAGTGAGTTCCCAGGGACTCCTTCCCGTGCACTAGTGAAAACCTTCATTGTTCCCATTTCATCCCTGCCATTCTAATTGTGGTTAATTAATATTGAAACCACTTTTCTTCAATTAATTAAAGAATTCTTTTTCAGGTTTCCTTGCTGCAGAATGAAAGCGTAGAGAAAAACAAGAGCATACAAAGTTTGCACAACCAGATATGTAGCTTTGAAATCGAAATTGAGAGGCAAAAGGAAATGCTTCGAAATAATGAATCCAAAATACTGCACTTACAGGTAAGATGCTCAAGACTGTTGCTGGGTCTCATGGTAGAACGGGTCTTCTGGTTTCTCCTTCAGGACTCTCTTGGGGGTTCAACTACAGCGCTGATTCCTCTCAAGCATGAAGTGTCTGAACTTTTGTTTCTCTTGCTTTGCCGTGGAGAAGGGAAATTTGTTAGTGAGCACCCAACTAGTGGTGGGCCAGGGTTAGCACCCCACCCCCAAATCTCTGCCACCAACCCATCTGGGCCTACAACCCACTATAGTGAGGTAAATCTTAAAGGCTGTGTTTTAAAAGTGTTGTTGTTGTTAAGTGTCATGGAGTCTGTTCCGACTCACCGCAACTCTGCATAGGATTTCCAAGGAGCACCTGGTGGGTTTTGAATTGCTGACCATGGGGGTAGCGGTCCAATGCTTCTCCTGCAGCGTCACCCCTGAGCTGTAGACTTGTCAGAGAAGCCATCATGAAGCCCTCATGCTGGGAATGTGGCTGCCTGTCTCTTAGGAGCTGGGAATGGGTCATCACTTTTTTTAATTTAGGATTTCATCTTGTTCTTGAGTGATTATGACCGGCATCACTCCTAAAGTGACGTGAAGCCAGACAATTTGGTTGTGAGCTTTTTAAGTGACACACGTACCGTTCTGAAAATACCATGCGTGCTGTATACGCTTTGGTTTGTGTGCCAACCCCACACTCCCCCAAGGTATTTTCAGAACCACACTATGGATTGTTGTTGTATTTGTTATTGTTCTGTGTTGCTGTAAAAAACTAGCATAGCATGCTTGGGAAAATACCTGGGGTGGAGTAGGGCTTTGGACCGAAAAAGAAGTATAATGCACGTGTTATTTGCATAAAAATATGGTAATAACCTTCTTTGTCATCATAGCACTTATTGTTGTTGTTCTTAAATGCCATCGAGTCGGTTCTGACCCATAGCGACCCTGAATAGGGTTTCTGAGGAGCAGCTGGTGAGCTTGAACCACCGACCTTGCAGTTCAAACGGCTTTGCAGTCTGGCGCAATAGCTCACAGCACCACAGCAATCGTAGGCATCTCTAAAAACACGAATGTATTACCTTGCACTCTTAAGAAAAGTGGACTGGAAAAATAGCTAATGAAGACATTGCCCTCAGTTCTGTTAGCAGTGCAGAAATCCATGCAGTCGCGCTGGTGTGGCTTCCTCTAGCTGCGGTAGTATTAGCATGTGTGTAGAGTCTGTTTGTTACAGTATTTCCCATGTGCGTCACAGAGGTGTTTCCTGCATTGTCTACAAGGGACTTTATAATTCATCATGCTGTCATGGTGTCTTAGTTCCCTGTACTCCATTCTAGGACTTTATAATGCATCATGCCATCATGGTGTCTAAGCCCCCTGTGCGCCATTCTAGGACTTTATAATTCATCATGCCGTCATGATGTCTTAGCCCCCTGTACTCCATTCTAGCAACAGAGTGTGTGGTCACAGTGCCTTGAATTGCATTGTCATTGTTGCTAAGTGCCGTCAAGTCGGTTCCGACTCATAGCAACCCTGTCTGCATAGGGTTTCTGGGGAGCAGCTGGTGGGTTTGAACCACCAACCTTATGATTAGCAGTCCCTTGCTTTTCCTACAGATCCACATTAATTTTGTTTGTATCACATTTTGTGGTTACCCAAAAAGATGGAAAAACAAAATATTAGGTTGTAGTCCTGAGCCCCATCCAGAACCTTATGAGGTGGAACATTCCCACTTGAAAGGACATGCAGACCAACCCAGAGCATCTAGAGGAACAGAAGATACTTCCTGAAAGAAAGACCAGCAGGAAAAAACAAAATCAAAAACAAAAATGGACAAGCAAGCTGTTTGCCTGGGAGCCATCAAAGGCAAGCAATCAAGTCCCTTCAGGATAAACCCCCCTCCAAGACTGAAACTCAAAGGGAACACAGGAGCAGGCATGTAAGCTTGCTGATGACCACATTCGTGTACTGGTGAGTGAAAGAGGGGGAAAAGCAGCAATGAAGACGGGGGCTCAGTTTAACCATGTTCCATAGACCCCCCCATTGACCTGGAGATGAGAAAGAGAAGAGGAAGGGCTGGTTGGTCTGAAGTGTGGTGAGATCCGAGGAATCCTGAGCCCATGGATAAGGAGATAGCCACAGAGGGCAGGAACCAAGAGTGAAGTGTCCAGCCTGATATGAAGTGAGGGGAGATGCACAAAAACACCCAAACTTGCATATAGTACCCATTTGACCTAGCTTCAATTGCTTGATGATCAGAACCCGAATAGAGGAAGAAAAAGAAATTTGATAAATGAAACAAGTGTAAATTGCTACAATTTAATGAACTTGACCTATACTTAGGGATGCAGTAGATCAAAATACCAACTGAGAGGGAAGGAGTCTTCACATCAAAAATCAATCTTATCCCCTCTGTATACAGGGTTGATAGGGATGGGCAACTTAGATATTAGCTACCTAAAAGGGGGGGCTATAAAGGCATGAAGTGGCTGGCTTACAAGTTTTCAAGAGGGAGTGTAGTTTCAGAGTGTGCAGGGGAAAGAAAACCCCACTGATCTTGTTTAGATGGCTCTGGTGAAAGGAGATGGGGATAGGATTCTTTTGATTCAATAGTGAGTAATTGTTACCATGACTAATTATGATTGTCACAACTGTAAAGGTGGAAGTTTTGTAACATAAAGGGGGAAGTAGTTAATCTTACAGTCCAGGAACAGAGGATCCTAGGACCATCAAGGGAGAAGAACATGAGTGGAATGTGAGACCCTATCCAGAGAAGCATCGACACCAGAGATGGAGGCAGAGATGAGGACATGGAGAGAGGAAGCAGCTGAGGACTCTAGACTCATAGAAAGAGAAAGGCTGAGTGCTGGCAGCCAGGAGGCAGGCTTGCAGAATGTGCCCTTGGCCTGTTTAAATAATTATATATTCCTGAGTGTTTTTGTGTACATCAGGAAAACAAACCCTAAAAAACAGAGAGAATAGAAGCAAATACTGATAAATGATAATGCATGGAGGGGATTGTAATCATTGCAATGAAACAAAATATGATAGGATGAGTGCAAAACCAATATTTCCCTTGTAAACTATCACTCAATTCACAATAAAAGGTTAAAAAAAAAAAAAGTGGTGTTAGAGAAGGTACAAGTCAACAGTATTGAATCAAGCCCAACACTAAAATGTCACATGTAACTCAGCAAGCCTTTCCCAGAAGCCCCTGACATTTTGCAGAGTGCCCACCTGCATGTTGGTTAAGACTATCCAGAGTGACAGGTCAAGCTCCTGCCCCAGAAATCTGTGTCCAGCCGGAGTGACCCCCTCACCTGTAGTGTCTGGAGCTGTTCCAAAGTCTAGTGGCTGCGTCTGGTTTGGGACTCAGAGACATGGTGGAAATGCCAAGGAAGTTCATGTTATTCTAGAAAGTTTCCTGTGAACAGCAGGAAGAGGATTGAATGAGAGGGATGGGTGGCTTCATTTATGGCAAAAACACTTAGATGCTACCTACTGATGTCCTAGGTGTATTTGTCTGAACCCTCAGAAATTTTTCTTACTTCATTTCCCCCATTTAAATCTGAAATGTTACAGATTCTGTTATACGTTGTTTATATTTTAAAACTTTTGTGTTGGAATAAACCAGTGAAGCGTAAGTCAGAAAGAAAGGGGGAAAGTGAGTGCCTTGAGCCTCTTGGTGTGAGGACTGGATGGTGACACCGGGTGTCAGTGTCCCTGGACTGGTGAAAGGTTGGGCATGCTACCTTCATGGAAGGAGTAGCATGGAGGAATGTAGATTCTGTTTTAAAGAGGAAGACTCCAGTCAGACTGAAGCCAAGCCCAGGTCTCCCCCAAGTGCAGAAACAGCGGCTGAAGATGTTGGAACATTTTAGGTTGGTTCTCTGTTTAAGGAGAGGGTTTGCATGGACGGCCCCCACCGTGGGCTCTGTGATAGGTGAGTGTTAACATCCTATTTGGTCTTGCTGTGGAGTTGGCAGCACGTGACTGGGATACAACGATCTTGACTGTCAGCTGCGCAGAGAGCAGTGACTGAGAACCTCACGTGCTGGACTTGGCTGTGAACATGCTCTGATGGATGAGAGGCCCTTCTGGGTGTCTTCCCCCTCGTTAGACAGTGCCCAACTCAGACTTGCCCTTCTAACTATTGCCCCCCCGCCTCAGAACCCTCACATGCCCCTCAGAAGGACTGAACTTACACACGTTACCATGCCCAGAAAGCTTCATGAGCCTGCCCATGCGCTCCACAGCCAAATCCACCTTTTTCCCCTCACAAGACTCCAGGCCCTGATGGACGTCCCTGCCCTTAAGGGTCCTCTTCCCTATCTTCCTTCAGAGGCCAGGGTTCAGTGTAAATGCCACTGCCTCCAGGATGCCTACCTTGACTCCACCTTCCACTGGGCTCCACAACCTCGGTGATGGTGTAGGTCACTCTTTTGTGGTCACCTCACCCCCTTGTCTGGCTCCCAGCAGACCCTGAGCTCCTGAGGCTGCTAGGAGTATGTACAGAGTACAGAACGCCTGGTGGACAGAGATAGGGCAGATGGTACGGGCAGAGGAGGTGTCAAGGGAGCAAAATTTTTTAAGAGTGTTATTTTTATTGGTGGCCCAGGAAAAGGGCTGTTTATTATTTCCCATTTTAGAGATCCTTTATTTCTTCATTAAGAAGACAGTCTAGGTATTAACTGAATTCTCCTATTCCCATCACTTCTCTTCGGAATAGACACAAATATGGATCTCTTCCAACAGTTAGCCAGGTAGCTAGCTAGCTTATTCAATCTGTATGTTGAACAAATGATCTGAAAAACTGGATTATATGAAGAAGAACGTGGCATCAGGATTAGAGGAAGACTCTAATTGTATGCAGATGATACAATCTTGCTTACTGAAAGTGAAGAGGACATAAAGTACTTATGAAGATCAAAGACCACAGCCTTCTGTGTGGATTGCACCTCAATGTAAAGAAAATGAAAATCCTCACCACTGGACCAATGAATAACATCAAGAAAAATGGATAAAAGATTGAAGTTGTCAAGGACTTCATTTTGCTCAGATCAGCCATCAACATTCATGGAAGCAGCAGTCAAGAAATCAAACGATACATTAGTCGTATCTGCTGCATAAGACCTCTTTAAGAGGTTCAAGAGCAAAGATGTCAGTTTGAGGACCAAGGTGCTCCTGACCGAAGCTATGGTATTTTCAATAACGTCATATGCATGTGGAAATTGGACAGTGAATAAGGAAGACCGTGGAAGAATTGATGCGTTTGAGTGTTGGAGGAAAATATTAAAAGTACCAGGGACTGCCAGAAGAACAAACAAATCTGTGTTGAAAGAAATACAGCTAGAATGCTCCTTAGAAGTTAGAATGGTCAGACTTTATCTCTCATACTTAGCTATATTAGCAGGAGAGACCAGTCCCTGAAGAAGGGTATCATGCTTGGTAAAGTGGAGCTCAACAACAAAAAAGGAAGGCCCCCTCCCCCAGGAGATGCATTGGCACAGTGGTAGCAGCAGTGTGCTCAAGCATAGCAACGAGTGTGAGGTTGGCGCAGGACTGGGCCGTGTTTTGGTGTGTCGTGCATAAGTCACTATGAGTTGGTACCTACTCGATGGCACCTAACACAGCAGCATTCCTTTATCAGTAAGAACTGGATAGATGTGGTCATTCCTGTAGTCAGTGGGTCTGCAGGGCTGAAAGCTACACAGTGTGGCCCTGAAACAGGAGGCAGGCAGCACCCTCTCCTCACAGTCCTCAACCCTGAGGGCCATTCGGGGGTCTCCTCACAGCCCTGGGCTCTGAGGGTCCCGGGCAACACCTGCACTACTCCCCCCCTCACACACACACTGCTCGTATTTGCATGTGGATTTCCAGGGGCAGCCAGTTGAAGTGTTTAACTCAAGGCACTGATAAATGAGCTCCAGAAAGCAGATTTTTTCTTTGGGGTTTGTTTATATAATGAGCACACTGTGCCTTCAACTCAGCTTCTGAATTCTTTTCTAATAATATCTCACACATCTATTTAAAACTTAGTTTTATAGAAAGACAGTAGTGTAACTCACTCTTCAGGAAGGAAATTGTATGGCTGCATTTTACAGAGAAAGCTTGATTTTCCCTTTGTACGCTGCTTTGAGACTGCCTTGTATACAAGAGCAGAGTCTCTTTATAAAGTAGCATGTTTGCCTTGCTGTGACTGGAAACACCTTTTGAGTCACTTGATTGGGTCCTGTGTGTGGGTGTGGGAGCCTATTTCAGGGGAGGAGGGTGCTCATGTGTGTGTACTTGTATATGTGGGTGGTTATATATGTGACTGACTTGGGCTGGGGGGCACAGTCCTGCCTGTGTGACTAGCTGGACCTCAGAGCAGCAGTGGCTCAATGCATGTGACCCTACGTCGCCCTGCCCACTGTCCCGTGTGCCCCCAGGCTGGGGAAGGTGCAGCTCTGTGCCTGACTTTTTTTATTTCAGAGGTCTGAGGGTTAAATGATGAGTGAACTGTCCTAGGCCATTGGGAGCTCTGAGCTTAGCGCTCTGTCCAGTGAGTTACAAAGCCGATCAATCAGACTCTTGCTTATGATCTTAATTTTCATGAACTTGCCTCTTCCATACATTAGTGTCCGTTTCAGCTCAGTTTATAGCATTTGTGTGGAATACCTGAACGCTGTCACTGGTGGGAACATGAGTTCATTCAAGACCCATTATCATTTGGATCTATCACTAGTATTGTCCCTGGAAAATAGCCTTTGTGAACTCATTAAGGCTGCCTCTGGCCATAGTTACTTGTTTCAAAATAAAATTCTGTTGCTGTAGCCAGCGACACTCCTCAGAGAAGTCTCTTATTTTCTGAACACTAACTCACGTTGGGGATGCTTGGAACAGACTGAAGAATGCTGCACTGTACCTCAGAGAAGCCACCAAACCTGCGGCTGTGCCTTGTGTTATTAAAAATAGAGTCCAAAAGGGGAAGTGCGTTAGGTGGTGGGTGCCCATTGTCCCCCAGCCAGCCACTGGGGGGGCTTGATTCACTCCATCACTGACTCTCACTAATGTGGATTTTAGTGGGTCTTTGTGTTTCTGGGAAAATGCTTGCACATTAGGAGATCGTAGCCATCCCTGCCTTTCTGCAGTGGGCTGAGGAGGCCGGAGCCCTGGTTTCCCCTGGGAGCCTGTGCCATCCCTTTGTGGAGCAGGTGTCCCTCAGATGGCCTGAGAGTTGCAGGAGGAAGTACCTGCTGTTTCTCTTCCTTCTCTGGTGAGGCCTCTGCATATTAGACCAGGTCACCCATGGAGGATGTTCCTAGGGAGAGAGGGGTACACAGGTCTGACTGGCCTTCCAAACTGGAGATCCCAGGCAGTAGACCCCTGTACTGTGGGATAGAGGCTAAGGCCTGCTGAGAGGAGCTGGAGCCTGCAGGGATCCCAGTGCCTGAGGTGGGTGACTGAGGGAGATGGAAGGGGACAGACGGAGCCACTTGAGCCCGGTACAGACTGAGAGTGATGCTTCTCCCTCGGTGGTGGTGATGCCACATGGTCCCCCTCCGATCAGAGTTCTCACTGCGTTTCCTTTGCCCACTTTGAACCCGGCAGCGAGTCATAGACAGCCAAGCAGAGAAACTGAAGGAACTGGACAAAGAGATCCGCCCCTTCCGGCAGAACTGGGAGGAGGCTGACAGCATGAAGAGCAGTGTGGAGTCCCTGCAGAACAGAGTGACGGAGCTGGAGAGCGTGGACAAGAGCGCCGGACAGGCAGCACGTAACACAGGTGAGGGCTGAGGGTATGGGACACAGCATGGGGCAGGGCCTCGACACAGGTGCCTGTGAAGACAGAACGTCCCCTCCCTGACAGGCCCTCCCAGATGGGAGGCTCTGTGGGCCCTCTACTCTAGGGAAGGGCTTACTGATGGGGAGAGGAAGATGGAGAACTTCCCACCCATGGGCCTGGGGTGAAGCGAGCAGAGGACTGTGGGAGTTGCAGGCTGGCTTTGTGTGTGGCTGTGGGTGAGATTGGGGCTGAAGGCACCTGAGACGTGCTGCAGACAATGCGTGTTGAGGACTTGGTGGGGTGTCCCTCATTTATCCTTATGTTACTGTTTGGTCTCATCATTCCCTGGGACATGCAGTTCCACTCCCTGTGCTGGCTAGTCTAACCCGCCCTCACTCCTCACCCTGGCAGGCCTGTTAGAGTCCCAGCTGAGCCGGCATGACCAGATGCTGAGTGTCCATGACATCCGATTAGCCGACATGGACCTGCGCTTCCAGGTCCTGGAGACCGCCAGCTACAATGGAGTGCTGATCTGGAAGATCCGCGACTATAAGCGACGGAAGCAGGAAGCCGTCATGGGCAAGACCCTGTCTCTCTACAGCCAGCCTTTCTACACCGGCTACTTTGGCTATAAGATGTGTGCCAGGGTCTACCTGAACGGGGACGGGATGGGCAAGGGGACGCACTTATCGCTGTTCTTTGTCATTATGCGTGGCGAGTATGACGCCTTGCTCCCCTGGCCATTCAAGCAGAAAGTGACGCTCATGTTGATGGACCAGGGATCCTCGCGGCGCCATCTGGGAGACGCTTTCAAGCCCGACCCCAACAGCAGCAGCTTCAAGAAACCCACTGGAGAGATGAATATTGCATCCGGCTGTCCAGTCTTTGTGGCCCAAACTGTTCTAGAAAACGGGACGTATATTAAAGATGATACGATTTTTATTAAAGTCATAGTGGATACTTCGGATCTGCCTGACCCCTGACCAATAGCCAGGGAGATGGATTAGCAGAAGGTAACTCCGTTGGGGGTGTTGAAGTGGTCTGTCTTCACTGAGGCCCTGGCGTCCGTCCCCAAGGGCCTCGTGGACTGGCGGAATGGTGAAGGCGGCCTGTGGCCTACAGGAGGAGCCCGTGCCCACACATCCTGACCTGTTTTCTAAGTCTAGCAACACTCAGCTCTGAAGACCCATCTGTCTGTCCTCCCAGGAGGTAAATGTCATCATCACAGGAGGCTCTCATTGTCATTTCTAAAGATCTAGTTAAGTAAGGTGGAAAACATATATGTTAAACAAAAGAAACATGATTTTTCTTCCTTAAACTTGAACACCAAAAAAAAAAAAAGAAAAAAACCCACGTGGGATAGCTGGACATGTCAGCATGTTAAGTCAAAGAAAAATTTATGACGTAATTATGCAGTTCTGATATATTCATCTAAAAATCAAGAGTGCCATCTTGTTTCAAATATAGTCTATTGTCTATTCTGAAGGCCTCAGCTGGTCTCTGTTTTTAATGATTTGTTTGTCAGGAGACCTGGCACACACCTAGGTCTCTTCTTGAAAGTCTCTAAATTCAGAGTCATTTTTTTTTTTTTTTTAATTTTTTAATTTCAAGTTTTACAGATAATCGTTAGAGCAAACACTTTATTTTCAAACGTTGACAGACTGCTATTTCTTGGAAGAAAATGTAAACTATCAAACACTGGTTATCACTTGTGATAGGAAAGAGAATATCTAACCTGTTGTTATTTCTCGTTAGAAATGTAATCCTTCAATATCTGTTGTAGTTAATCACACTACTTCAAAATTACTATGAGAGGAAACTTGCTCATGGATGCTGTGCATCATTTCAGATTTATAATTGTTTTCACCCTAAAATAGGGCATTAGTTGAACTTTGGAGTTCTAAGCAAAATCCTGTAGGTTTTTAAAATTCTGCCCCACGTGTCCAGACGCACTGTCGATTGCTGACAACCCAGACCTTCAGTCCAGTGTCCAGCGTCCGGGGTGGGCCAGGGGGTGCGGCCGAGGAGGCCACAGCAGACACGGTCAGAGTGCCGAGTTGCCGAGGCGACGTTTCTGCGTAGAGATGGTGGCATCTGTGCCTTAGACGTGACATGCTGCTTCTTGACCCTGGGTTTGTGTTCCGTGTCACTCCTGACCCCGCACCCGATTGTCACAGATCCAAGTTGCCAGGCCCTGCCCGCGAGGCCCACTCTCTGGGAGCCTGGCCCCCCGCCCCACTCCTCCATGGACAGAAAGCGGTACCCTTGCCCGGGCCACCCAGGGCCGTGGCTGCCACGCAGCTCTGAGCATTTCAAAGACCGCTGCCCTGGGGCTGCCCGGTGAGCCCCCAGCACCCCCACCCGGGCTGGGGAGGTGGTCTCAGTGGCCCACCCCAGCCCTGCCTGCAGCTCCAGAAGGCGCTTTCTCAACTCACTGTTTACTTTTACCCATGGTCCAACTGTGACTCGGAGTGTACGGGCCCCCATAGACCTTCTGCTATGCACCGCGCGCTCTGGGTGCTCTTAACACTGACGGGTGCTACACGTGACGGGTGCTTCCGGTTAACCAGTGTGTGCGAACCACCGCATCTGTGCCACTTGCTCCAAACGGTGCGCCGGCAATTGGCCAGCCGGGCCGTGCCCCACTGCCTGCCCCCGGGCCCCCCACCTGGCCCCGGTGGCCCGCGCGCGTCTCTGGTGCTGCCACCTGTCCTGGGTGTGCCTTCGCCCCAGTGCCTGCTGGAGGCGCCCCACATTGCATCCATCCCCCGCGCCGCCCCTGGCTCCACCGCGATCTGTAGCGACTGGTCTCCATCTTCCTGTCTCTTTGCTCTCCTCGAGTGGCTTTGGGGTGAGTTTGTGTCACCGGTTCTACCCCCACTTACGGAGTCGTGAGTCTTGTCACTGTTCATAGGAAGGGCTTCCACAGATGCTCCGAAATGTGCTGACTCCCACCCGGGCCCCCAGGTGGTTTCCCTGAGGACCTCCCTTTGCAAACAGTACCCACTGTGAGACAGGACGAACAGAACAGCGTTTCCACCCCGTTAAGTCTTTCCCTCCCCTAGGTTGGAAGCCCCACTGGGGGGCACCCCCCTTGCTGTGTGACTATCAGCAGCGCCTCTTACAGGCCCAGGGACCACAGGAACCCTCCTCGACTTCGCCCCCTAGACAGCCCGGGCCAGAGTGGCCAAGGTGGTGCTGTAAGGGAAGCGGGGGACAGGTGCATCCTCTTGGCTGGTGGCTAGCAAACACCTTGGCACCTTTGCTAGGTGCACACTTCTCTTGGGTGCTCTGAGCTGCTTGGGAAGAGTGGCTCCTGGGGCGCTCTGCCCTTCAGCTGCCCTCAGTTTCCCCTGGGTGCCGTCTGGTGCTCGGTGCCCGGGCGGCCACATCTGTGGCCTTGCTCCCGCGTCAGTAGGAGCCAACCCCGGCCTCACAGGGTCCCCATACACAATGTGTAGTTGGTATACTCCCTGTGGACTGAGGTGACAGCTTCCCCAGAGCTGTGTCCTTGCACTGTGACCATGTGAGCACATGGGCAGGGACATGTCCCCACAGCCAGGGAACATGGACGTCTGGCCCTCCAGGGCATGTGCTCTGTCCAGGACTGGGGGGCCCAGGCTGAGTGAGGGGCCGTCCACCTGTACCTTCCACGACCCTTTGGGACTAAACAGATCTGGCTCTGGCCTGGCTGAAGTGAGCTTTGATCAGACTTTTTTATAAGTTGACTTTTCAATCTGCCAGGTCAGATGACATTCATCCTAAAGCAGCAGTGTGCGTCAGTTTCAGGACCTGTCAGACAGGAGGGGCATGTTCCCAAGAGTGCTTCCCACCTGACATGCGGGGCTCCTGCCGTGTTGGTGCCTCTGCACGGAATGCCCTGCCCTTGTCTTTTCCTCTTCCTCATCCCTGCCTGTCTCCCAGCTCTGTCCAGCCTGTGGCACTAGGTGGTCCAGCTGCAGGAGCCTGGACCCACCCAGCACTGTGTCCCCTGCTCCCTCGGATCTGTCTCCCCCGGGTCCAGTCCAGCAAGGTGCTGGGAGTGGGCTCCCCATGGAACTGGCCCTTTGACAGAAGTGACCGCTTGAATGAAATCCCACCCAGCCCCCTCCTGAGGCCCTGCTGCCTCTAGATCTCCAGTCTCCCTTGCTCTTGGGGAGTCAGGTGACCCCAGGGTCATTGTCAACAGCCCCCTTCACTTCACAAGTGTTGAAGTGGCGATCCTCTAGGGGCAGGTCTGTGGACAGCCCATAAAACAAGAGCCACGTCGTGAGGCCAGTCATCACCTGATCAGCTTAAGGGCCCAGGGGAGCCACAGTCACAGACTTTTCCCAGAATCAGTCAGGGGTGCCGACCTGACCTCCAAACGCGTCCCTCCGCTGGGCATACCGAGCGTTGACGGGTTCAGAGCTGTGAGCTGCTGGTTTTCATTGCGAGGTGAAGTGGTTTACTGAGTTGCTGCAGGAGAGTGGAAGGTTCCAGAGCAGCTGCACGCATGTTCAGTCTGTGAGGTGAAGGGTGGGGGTCATCTCAGTCTGAGACCATGTCCTTGTCCCACTTGCCAATCCCGGAGGTCGTCTTCCCCACATAGGATGTGTGCTCGGGTCCAGGCCTGTGGGTCGGGTGTGAGGCTGCTGGTCTCTAGAGACTCCAGCTCTGTCTCACATGGGGGCTTTCTCTCTGTGGCACCCAGTGTGTGGGACTGAGCCCCAGGGCAAACCTACAAGATGGGTCCCCACCCTGCTCTAGGGTAGGGGGCGCCTGCCATGCGGAAACCCGTGTGCTTGACCCCACCCCTCTTTAGAGCACATCTTTTGAACTTTTCTCAGTGAAAAAACAGAGGTTGAAGTCCGGGGTTGCTGTCCCACCCCTGTGATCCCTGGTGATTGATTTTTATGTCTTAGACCCCTTAGACCAGGAAGGTAACTTTTCACAACCAACTAAATGACTTAATTGGAAAACCCCAAAGCCAGCATTATTCCCAAGGATTTCTGTCAGAAATAAGAACATCTGTGACAAAGGAAATGTGTAAACCCATGTAGACAAGTGTGCACATTTTAGAACTGCATTCTTTTCTCTGATGGCACACCTCTTGTGTTCAGTTCTCTTACCCAAAACAAAGACCAAAGAAGGCCAGTCCCATGGACGCTCGTTTCAGTCGGCCTGCTTTCCCAGTTGCCGTCTGTAGTAGCTATTAGCTGTGTGGTCCCATCTTGACGGTGCCAGTGATTGTGGCCAGTGACACACACTTCTGCGTTCCGCTCTTCTAAGAAACACCACCACAAAGACGGTACGAGTGAGCACGCAACAATCCCCTGTTGCTGACCGAGTTAACCACATGTCTGACTTTCGGATAGCATTATCACGTTGTATATTTCTGTTGGCTGTACATTGTGTGTGGTTTTATTTGGTATTTATTTGTGTTTTGAGGTCTTGCGATGTTTTTGTGTTTCTGATGCTAATAACTAAAGTTTGTAAGAGTGTAGAATGCAAAACTTTGAAATGCTAAACTGTCTCATTAGAGGAAAATAAATCTGATTAAGGAGTCTCCGCTTCTTCCTCACCCTGGCTCTCAGGGACATTTTGGGGGGCCCCCCTCTCACAAGTTCCCCCCAATTTATGAAGGCTCCCATTAGGTTTACTCCCCACTCTCACCATCTGGAGATTTCTGAGAAGTGAGCCTGGGCCCCCATCCCCATTTTGTCTTGGGTCCTGCCTGCGGCATCTCAGCCTGCCCTTCCGGCAGGGGCTGTGATCCAGGGCAGATCTTCAGGATGGGGGTGTGACTTGGCGGAAGGGGACAGCGGGTCCTGAAGGTCTTCCTGCTTTCTGGGCAGTGGGACTCGGGACAGAATTCGCAGGCCCTAGAACGTGTGTTTTCTCACCTGGACAGGCAGTGGTCCCTACCTCTGAAACAAGGTAGACAACCCCCCCTTCCCCCCCCCATGGGTTCTGGGCAGTGTCCTGCAGGACTGTACCCTATCCATAGTGGCCTAGCTCGGAAACCCTGTGTCTCCCTGGAGATCCCCACAAGTTACTGGGTGGCACCCACTGGGCCCTCCCCCCCCCCCCCCCCCCCCCGCAGCCGCTGTAGCCACCACAACAGCCTGCTCTGACCAGTCCCACCTGTGTCCCATGAGCAGCAGAACCGCCGACCCCCCCCCCCCCCCCCCCGCACACATAGACAGCCACCAGCCAGTCCTCAGGGCTTGTCAGCAGTTGCATGTCCTTCTGCCCTGGGACCAGTGGCAGACACAGGCCCTGGGGCAGGTGCCCACATTTACAAGGAGCACTAGGTCCACACTGGGCAGAGGGTGACCACTTGGCTCTTCCCAGCATGTGCCCCTGCCTCCCAGACACGGTACAGCTACATCGGGTCCCTCCTGGGGGTTGGGGGTGGGGTCCCAAGTCCACACACCCTGTGGTGAGGGACTGTGTTCCAATGTGATGTCTGGAGATCAGGTGTCATGCCTAGGGACATTGGGCAGGGCCCCCGGGTGACTCCAGAGATCCTGTAGCCACCAAGGATGCACAGTACCCCCCAGAAGACCAGTTGAAATTCTCACACCTGTGAACGTGGCCCAGTCTCATGAGGGACTTTGAAGATCGTACCAGGTTAACAAGAGCCCTCACTGGAGCCTGTGGGTACTAGTGTGTCCTTAGGGGAGGACAGACAGGTTGTGTGCGTGTGTCTGCAAGCCAAGGAAAGCCTGCGGCTCCCAGAGGCCAGGAGAGCAGGAAGGATCTCCTAGATCAGGCTGGGGTGCCCTGCCTCCACCCTGCCTTGAACCTCCAGCCTTCAGAACTGGGAGAAATCACGTTTCTGTTCCTTAACCACCCACTGTGGAGGTCTCTGCTACAGCCGAAGGCGGCTGGGTGTGTGGAACTGGGTTATCCGCAGGAAAGGAGCCCTCCTCCCCAACAATGTGGATAAATCAGCCTTCTATGCCTGTGGGTACACAGCTGACTTGGGGTGAGCTAGTCTGATCCTGAAACTTTCACTCACTTGGAGCTCTCCCCCACCCCCAGTTCTCCTGAAATGAAAGATGAGTCCTAAAGACTAAGGAAGACAAGTCTGTTGGGCTGACCACTGGCTAAGGCGCTGACAGGGACCCCCCAGACAGAGCGGCTTCTATAGAGTCACAAATTTGAGGATAAATGGGGGCTCCAAGCAACCCCTCCCAGGGCTTCCTACATCCTAACTCCCAATCCTGAAACCCCACCTCACCATGGAAGGGGAGAGGGAAGGGCAGATTCAGCCAGGTGAATCCTATAACTCCTGGATCTGGACAGCTGGGGACAGGCCAACTCCCTTTGGGAACAAGGCGATCTCCACCAGTGGACAGGGGAGGCCTGCGGGGAAGGAGTCCGCTGACCTTTTCCGCAGCTTCCTCCCTCAGCCCAGCGGTTGGCAGGACTGATCCACTCTGTCCTGACCCTGTGCCTAGGACATGCTCCGTGGTGGAGAATCAGAAAGTTTGCCAGCCTTTGAGGGGTCTCCTGTCATCCCTTGCTCCCTAAAGTTTTGAGGCATCGACTGTACCCCAAACTTTATTGTTAAGTGCCATTGAGTTGGTTCTGACCAATAGCAACCCTGTATAGGGTCTCTGAGGAGCAGCTGGTGAGCTTGAACCACTAACCTTGCAGGTCAGTACTGTCCAGCACTACAGGACTCCTGTACCCTAAGCAGAGCACTCCAAAATGTGAGCAAGGCAGTGTGGGCAGTGAGTTGTTCAAGGACAGACACTGAGGATCAGGGGATGCTGGGGGGGAGGGGGTGGATTCTAGGAAGGAGATAGGGCACAGAGTCCAAATGAGAGAAAGTTGCCCCTCCTCCTGCCCCCCCGCCCCCCCCCAGTGTCCAGCCTCTGTCCGTCCAGAGAGAAGAGGGACATGCCCAAGGTCACCCAGCAAATTGGACCCAGAGGTGAGGGGGGAGCAGGGAATTGAGCTGGGGGTGCCTTGTCCCCATACAAAGTCATGGAGAAAGCAGGTGGGAGGGAGCAGGGCAGGGATCCCCATGTGTCTGGGAGCCCTGGGTACTCTGCCTGCTCTCCGCTCCGGACCCAGCGGCACTTCTACACCGGGAGTGGCCAGTCAGAGCACAGCAATCCCTGGCCAAGGTAATTGGTGCAGAATCAGGAACCAGGAACCAATCAGAGACCTCTAGCTTGGAATGTTCAGAATGAGTAGGAATTTGTGTAGGAGGGGGGAATAGGGCAGAAAAACAGAGACACCCCCCGTGGATCAAACCTTGCTTGAAGCAGCTGCTCCAAGGATTGTCTAGCTGTCAGAGGCAGTGCTCTTGGGGGCTCTGCATTTCTCCCACTGTCCACTAGTGGTCATCATCCCGTGTGCACACATGCTGCCTGTTTCTGTGCTGGTCCCAGCATCCCTTACATCAAGCACTTGCTCAAAAGTGGTTCTCAGGGTCCCTTGGCTGCTGGGAACCAGAGCTGGCATGGACTCCCTACAGCCTCGATGCCCCTTTTTGGGGCATGGGGAGAGATGGATGCCAATACTGCAGCTAGACCCAGCTGCTCTGATTCTGCCATCCTTCCTGGCTCTGCTATAATGCTACCTCTTCCGGGAAACAATCCACCCTGACTCCCTCCATGCGGCGGCACATCCTCTCGGGAAATGGAAGGTGTGAGTCAGAGAGACTTCAGTGCTTCCATTTCCCTCAGACCTAGCCATCCAAGAGCCTACACTGCTGCCCCACCCTCAGTATAATCCACTTCCTGTCAGCCTCTGGGGAGATCCACCCAGACTTTCCTCCTATCAATTGGCTCACCATCGTTCCTGTCACCCAATTTAACCTCCACAGCCTACCCACCACCCACCACCCATCCATCAAGTCTACATCACTCACATCTGCAGTCACACACCCCCCATCCATCTCTTGAAGCATGATTCAACACAGGTCATCTCCCCACATGTATCCCTTCCTTCAACGGTCTTCTATCCACTGCCAAGAACGTACTCACAATCTACCCACTAACCTGCCGGTCCATTCATCCCTGTATATCCAGTCACCTTCTGTAGTCTCATCTAGCCACCCAGCATCTGGCTCCACCAACCCATCAATCCATTCATTGACTGTTACCATTCATTTCCCCGTTCTTCCACAGCCCACTCTCCCGTATCCACCCAGCCACTTACTCATACGTCTTTATTTCATCCACTATCAAATATCTACATTGTGCGTGTCATTAGGTACCATGCAGTCAGGAACTCTTGTGTACCACAGGAGTAGACGCTGCCGGGCTCCTACGCCAGACTCACAAGTGTTGTTACTATGTTTGAGCCCATTGTTGCAGACCACTGTGTTAATTCCATCTCGTTGAGAGTCTTCTTTTTCGCTGACCCTCTACTTTACCAAGCCTGATGACCTTCTCCAGGGACTAATCCTTTCTGATAAATATCCAAGGTACATGAGATGAAGTCTCATCATTCTTAACGTCTAAGGAGGCTACCAAGACATTCATTTACTCTTCTGGCAGGCATTCAATGTTCACCAACACCACAATTCAAAGACATTACATTCTTCAACCTTCCTTACTCACTGCCCAGCTTTCTCAAGTACACAAGATGATTGAGAATACCATGGCTTAGGTCAGGTACATCTTCATTCTCAAAGTGATGTCTTTGCTCTTTAACAGTTGACTGAGGTCTTTTGCAGCAAATTTGCCCAGTGCAATGCATCATTTAATTTTTGACTGTTGCTTCCATTTAACACTCACAATTCCGATCTCCCACCCACATACCTCTCCCACCTAGCACCCACCCAATCATGTACCACTCATTCTTCATGACTGCCCATTCATTCATTTACCCATCATCTCCCATGCACCCATTCATTCATCATCTACCCACTGCTGTTGTTACGTACCATTGAGTTGGTGCTTACTCATGGCAACCCCATGTGTGTGCTTCGTAGTTTTCAAGGTTAAGTGCCAGCGATCCTGTATAGGGTTTCCAAGGAGCAGCTGGTGGGTTTGAACGGCGACCTTGTGGTTCGCAGTCCAGTGCCGATCCCACAGCCCCACACCAGGAGTCCAGGGTGTACCATCCACCCACCTTGGTTTCCTACCGTCCATCCATTACCAATTCACCGCCATCCACTCATCCGTGCATCACCCACCCATGCCAGCCTTCTATTACCCAGCCACCATCCACCGTCCATTTGGGCCATGGAGGGTAGGGAGACCAGGTGCAGCTGTGGTCACAATTTGAACAGAAAAAGAGGTAAATCCAAAGGTTGTGTGCCCCCCACACGTCATGGGGCACACAAGGTCCCCTGCAACATCTCCTGGCGCTGGAGAGGTCAGTATGGGGGAGGGACCGAGTGGAGAAGGTGCTTCCTGAGGGGCCCTGGGCAGGTCTGCAGGTAAATGTGTAACCTTTCCCAGCGGCCCCCACCCCACCCCGCCGGTCACGTGGACTCCGCGGGGCAAAGTCTCCGGTTCTGCGGTTCTGCTCGGTCAGAGCGGCGAGATGGACGCGCTGGGCCAGATCCTGCTGTGGCTGCAGCTTTGCGGTATGCCGGGCACTGCATGCGAGACCACTGCCGGCCGGGGACCCCCCTGAGGGTGGGCTGAGGGGCTACGAAACCCAGAAACCCAGTCTGGCTTCTCTGGGAGGGCGATACTCAGGTGACCAAAAACACAGGAAGCGCCCTCGGGGAGCCGCCTGTCTGAGAAATGGGTCTAAACTTAGCTCCTGGAAGGGAGCTGCCGGCCGGCCTCAGTTTCCCCGCTCTACGAGGCGCGGCGCGGCGCGGCGGATCCCGTCTCGCACCCAGGTCAGCGAGTGCACCCCGCTAGCTCCTCGGTGCCGCCCCTGGCCCGCCCCCAGAGCCCTAGGGGCTTCAGAAACTGCCGCCAGGTCCCTGGCTTCAAGAAGCTTCCCAACTCCCCCACCGGAGCCCGCTGGCCTGCTCCGCGCCCCCAGCCCATTGTTTGGGGACTGACCCTTCCCTCCAGCCCCCACTCCCCAGCCGGCTCCCTCGCCCGCGGCCCTCTGCCTGGCGGCGTCCCGATTTAGGGTGCGCTTCCTTCCCGGGACCGCCTTCTGGGCAAGGCAGAGCCCACCCTGGCCCCTACCCCCGGGACTCTCATTGTCCTTGGTGGGCGGGGCAGGGCGTGATGCCCGAGGACGTCGGGGAGGGGGCGCGGTTTGTGCCAGAGCTTGGACGGGTGTCTGGGGGCGGCTATGAGGTGGGCAAGAGCAAGGGCCCAGGGCTGGGCAGCCGCGGGGACCCCGAGCCGAGTCGGCCTAGACCAGGGGTAGTCCGGCCCCAACGAGCACTCAACCGATCACCTTCCCAGCGCTGACCCGGGCAGCCTACAAACTCTGGGTCCCCAACACCGACTTCGACGACGACGCCAACTGGAGCCAGAACCGGACCCCGTGCGCAGGCGCCACCGTCGAGTTTCCGGCCAACAAGGTCCGGCCACGGGGTGCTGGACTGGTCTGCCTGGTCCAGAAGGCCTGGGGCCCCGGGAACCTCGCCTGCCCTGGCTGACGCCTCTCTTCCCGCAGATGGTGTCGGTCCTGGTGCGAGGCGGTCACAGTGTCTCGGACCTGGTGAGCGTGGGGCTCTCGGAAGGGGAGTTTGGGGTGTGGGCGGTCCACCCAGTCTCCCCGAAGCCCTTTCCTTGGCCTTGTGCCTGAGACCCCCTCCAGCATGGGAGGGACTGCAGACCCTGGACCTTTGCCGTCTAGAGGGGCTTCTGGGAGGTCGCCGGTCACTTCTGGGGCCACTCGAGGGGAACCAAAGTCTCGGCTTGTGATGGGGCTGGGGCTCTTCCTGCTCCTCTGCCTCTGTCTTCCCTCCCAAGACAGTCTGCCTTCTATAATGGGACTTCCCATCCCGACCCCTAAATATCAGTCTCCTGCCTATAAAGCCCCCTGTTGGAATGCTGGGACACCTTGTTTTCAAATTGCTTTACAAAACCAGCGTGCCAAACTCTGAGAGGGAAAGGGCTCCCCTGCCACTTACGTTTGGGAAATGCCGTCTTAGCAACTTTCAAGGCTCTGGTGGTGGTGGTGTGCCGTGGAGTCTCGGAGTCGGTTCCGACTCATAGCGACCCTGCACAGGGTTTCCGAGGCTGGAAATTTTTACAGGAGGAGAAAGCCTCATCTTTCTCCCACGGTAGTTTCGAACTGCTGACCTTGAGGTTAGCAGCCTGATTCGTAACCACTACGCTACCAGAGCTCCTTAAGGTGTCTGATAAGGCTCTGATAAGGTCTGTGAAAAGGACACCCGATGGCTTATTTAAAGCCAAATCCCGAATTTCGCTGGTACGACTGGAGCTGGTTTTACTTGTTTTTCTGTTATAAGTGAATTGATTCGGACCCCTAGTGAACTCTGCATAGGGTTTCCTAGGAACCGCTGGTGGGTTTGAACTGCCAACCTTGTGGTTCGCATTTTATATGGTCGGAAAAATTCAAAAGAACATCATTTCAGGGCACATGCGTAATAGACAAAATTCAAATTTCCCTTCCTGGTGAAGTGTCCCGGCACGCAGCCCCGCCCCTTCGTCACGTGGCATGGGGGCGGTGACCACGCACAGTTGGGAGTCACTGGCCCCCCCTGCTGGGACATCGGGGTTCACTCAACATGGTGGGGCGCCCTGCCCGGAGCCTACGCGGTGTCACTTGCCGGTCACCTGTTGGCCATTAATCTCGGTCACACCCCAGTGAGGATCGCCGACTCTGAGCTAGGGGTGGACCCGAGCGGTGGGTTCCAGGGCGGGGACCCTCATCCGGGGGACTGGAGTGGGATTGTCGGGTGCTGCGGCCCGGCTCAATCTGTTCTGGAACCCCTGGCTTTGTTTTCCACTCTGAGGGCCATTGGTGTGTGGACGGTAATTAACCTTGGGCCTCTGTGGCCGGGTCCCCAAAGCCGACGAGTCACCATGGCAACTGGGCCTAGTAGAGTGTGCAGATGGGAAAAGGGCACCGGGAAGCGGGAGGGAGGGTCTCCGCAGGCAAAGCTTGCCGGAGGAGGAGTCCGGCTGCCTGAGTGTGACGCCTGTGGGCCCAGGTCATGGTCTCCTTTGGAAGCAGCCATTCATTCCTCGTATATTTCTGGAGTCCCTCCAGGCTAGCCCCTTCGACCCTCTGTGGGGACTGGGGCGCGGATGGCTCGTTCAGGGGCCCCCTCACCTTCCAGGCTTAGGCCGTGGTATTTACCCAGCGCTGCGCGGGAACCGCCCCCCAGCTCTGGGCTTGATCCAGAGCCTGGTTTTCTGGGTTTGCTGGATCTCGGTTTTTCTCATCAGTGGTTGTAGACTTGAGACGCTGCAACTCTCTGACCAGAAACCCTCATTTTAATCTTTTGGGTGCTGTCCAGTTGATTCTGGCTCGTGGCGCCCCCACGTGTTACAGAAGTAGAATTGCTCCATAGGGTTTTCTTGGATGCAGCCTCTCTATAGGAGAAAGATGAGGTTTTCCGCTCCCGCAAAGATTTAAAAGCCTTGAAAACCCAGTGTTGTTAAGTGCTGACCCATAGTGACCCTGCTGGTGAGCTTGAACCACTGACCTTGCAGTTCAAACGACTTTGCAGTCGGACACATTAGCCCACAGCGCCGCAGCAGGATACGGGGTCGCTATTCAGACCTTGGATTCAGACGGTCAACATTTACGTTAGTGTTAAGTGCCTTTGAATGGCTTCCAACTCATAGAGACCCTGTATAGGGTTTCCAAGGAGCGGCTGGTGAGTTTGAATCTTGTAGTTCAAACCTATTTTGTGGTCCAGTGCTAAATCCTACAGCGCCACACCAGGATTCCAAAAAAAAAACCTTGTATAGATGTTGTTGTTGTTATGTGCGTGAAGTCAGTTCTGACTCATAGCGACCCTGAACAGGGTTTCCGAGGCTGTAAATCTTTATGGGAGCAGAAAGCCTCATCTTTCTCCCGCGGAACAGCTGGTAGTTTCGAACTGCAGCCCGATTCGTAACCACTATGGTACCAGAACTCCTTTATAGATAGTACTGGTAAATTTGTAAATACTTCATAGATTTGTGCCCGTCCTTAAAAAATTTTTTTGTTCTCTAGTTGGCTATTAAGGAGCTCTGGTAGCGTAGTGGTTACGAATAGGGCTGCGAACCGCAAGGTCAGCAGTTTGAAACTACCAGCCGCTCCGCGGGAGAAAGATGAGGCGTTCTGCTCCCGTAAAGATTTACAGCCTTGGAAACCCTGTTCAGGGTCGCTGGGGGTCGGAACCGACTCGATGGCACTTAATAACAACAAAGTTGGCTATTACTTCAAAAAATGACAGTGTTTCTTTAATTCGTCTTCACTCCATTGATTGCTTTTTCTTTCCATATGTCATTGGTCTCCAGCATGACTAGCTCTGGACTGCAAATGACAATTTCAGCAGTTCAAACCCACTAGCCGTTCCTAGGAAACTCTATACAGGGTCCCTATGAGTCATTTGTTGGGGCTTGTAAGTTAAACGGAAATGATAAAGGTGGGCATCCTTGTTTTATTCCAGTGCTGAAGAGAGAGCATGTTAAGTTCCTCCACTGAGTGTAATATTTGCTGTAGGATTTTGGTATGTTTATCAAGTTTAGGAAATTCTATTCTTCCTGCTACATAAAAAAAAAAAAATTAAGTAGGTTGTTGAACTGTATGAACATCGTTTTCCATGTAAGTTGAGATGCAGTTGCACCACCTTTAGCCTATTAATAAGGTTTTCTGAGATTGAACTGTCTGCAAGGTTGAAGTCCTGATCCCATCCTGTGAGTTACAAACCGAAGGATTCCGTCTGCAATACGCTAATTTTACTGGCCCGCGTCTCTCTATTGCCATCTGCTGGACCGTTAGTGTATCGTCTGTTGTTGTGTGCTGTTGAGTCTGTTCCAACTCACAGCTACCTGTGTAGAGTTTCTGAGAGTGTTTGGTGGATTTGAACTGCCAACCTTGAAGCTACCAGTCCACTGCTCATCCTACAGCACCACACCAGGGCTCATTATATAACCTAGAGGTAGGATAGGCACTGGATTACTAAGCAAAAGACTGGCAGTTTAAACTCACCAGCTGCTCCTTGGAAACTCTATAAAGGGTTGATACAAATCAGCACTTCACAACAACAAAGAAATAATAATGATGTGTCACCCTTCAGCTCTGCATTCTTGGATCATGACCCCTATTCATTTCCCAAATATTTTTAGAATACACTGTCTAGCCATCTAATGTTTCATTTAGGATATCTGTACCTATATTTTAAAGCAAACCGGGTCTATAAGTTTCTGATTTTGGAATCAAGATGAAAGCAGACTGACAGTTTTCACTTTTTCTGTTTTCTGGAACAACTTGTATAAAAATAAATGGGTTCACTGCTTTTGAGAGTTTAGTAGGCGTCACCTGGTAACCCAATTGGACTGGGGATTTTAGAACGAGGATGCCTTGGACTGCCTTGGACATTTCTTCAATGCTTACTCAGCCCACAGTCTATTGTTTCTTAGGCCAATTTCATAGTTGGAGTTTTTCTAAAACTTTCCAAATTCCTGAAACCTGGATACATTTTATTTGGGTTTTCAAATTTCAGAGCCAGTGAATGGGTCTGAATCACCAATCTTTTGGTTAATAGCCTACTGTGTTGCTCCAGCCTCTGGCAGTTCTGTTGATTTCTTGGAGTCCGGGTGTGGTGCTGCAGGGCCATGCACTGGACCACAAGGTCGGTTTAAACCATAATGCGAGATTGGCAGTTTGAACCCACTTGCTGCTCCCTGGAAACCTTAGCTAGGGATGCGTCGAAACCAACTCGATGGCACTTAATGACAACATTGATTTTTTGTTTTTTAAAGCTACGTGGCTCTGTTGGATAAGAACTGGACTGCTAACCACAAGATCAGTGGTTCGAGCCCACCAGCTGCTCTGTGAAAGAAAGCTATGAGAAAGATAAGGCTTGCTGCTCCTGTAAAGATTAACAGCATTGGAAACCATGCCCCGGGGTCGCTGAGTTGGAATCAACTCTACATCACTTAACAATTGATTTCTAAAGGAACCCTGGTGGCACAGTGAATTAAGTGTTGGGCTGCTAACTTGAAGGTCAAAGGTAGGCCCCAGCAGAGAAAGATGAAGCAATCTGCTTCTGTAAAGATTTACAACCTTGTTGTTGTTGTTACTGTTGTTCCAATTCATAGGGACCCTATGTACAACAGAACGAAACACTGCCTGTCCTAGGTCACCCTCACAACTGTTGAACCCATGGCTGCTGGTACAGAGCCAATAATCCATCATGTTGGGGATCTTCCTCTTTTTCGCCAACCCTCCACTTTACCAAGTATGATGTCCTCCTCCAGGGACTAGTTCCTCCTGACCACACGCCCAAAGTGTATGAGACAAAGTCTTGTCATCCTCACTTATAAGGATAGCTGGACATCTTCCAAGACAGATTGATTTGTTCTTGTAGCAGTCCATGGTCCTTTCAATATTGTTCGTCAACACTAAAACTCAAACACATCAATTCTTCTGCAGTCTTACTTATTCATTGTAAACCATTCCCATGCATATGAAGTGATTGGAAATACCATGGCTTGGGTCATGTGCCCCTTAGTCCTCAAACTGACTTCTTG